TATTGTTGTTGTTCTTCTTCTTATAATTATTATTATTATTTATAATTTATATAGTTCGACCCCGATCTTGCCGGGTTATTTATTACTTTGATACTCTTACACTTAGAATAAGACATCAACTCTTTGATCGTGTCAGAAATTATGCTTTATAATTTTTTTTTCAATTTAGTTTTTTGTTGGCTATATACCAATCTCATAGATTTAGTTTTACTTCCTCGATTTTCACTTTTAGCATTAGATTTATTAGAAGTGAGGATTTAAATTATTTTTATTGCTTTTTATAAATTTATTCTGATATTATGACCTAAATTATAGGTTTAATAGGTTATTTTAGGTTGACTTGAGTTATTTTTTAAACCGTTTTTTCTAATTGATTTATTTTTTTTATTTTATCCTTCAATGTTAAATTGGTTAAGAATTAAACTTTGTAATATTTTTAATTTTTTTGTGAATTTATCTTGATATCATGACCTAAGTTACAGGTTTGACCTTAGTTAATTATATTCATTTTTTATCCCTTTTTAATTGAAAGTTTTTTGTTTTAACTAGGCATCATAATTTTCTTTGATTTTTTTTATTGCATTATCTGAATCTCATGATTCAAGTCATGGTTTTGACCGGTTTCATTTTTTTATTCCTTTTTATTAAATTTATTTTTTAATTTCACCCTCCAATAACTTAATTTTTTTAATTTAGTTTTTTTTTAAATTTCAATCTCATCCTTTAGTATTAAGTTGTTTGGAAATTGAATTTTTTTTTCAATTTTACCTTTCAAAAACTCAATCATCATTTTGATTTAGTTTTCACTTTCATTTTAATCTCATCCTTCAATATTTGATTATTTAGGAATTAGGGTTTGTAATTTTTTTTAATCTCTTTTATGTGGGATTATCTTGGTCTAATGAATTTAGTTTTTATTCTCGATTTTGACATATATATAACATTGGACTTGTTAGAAAATTCATTCTCGATTTTGACATATATATAACATTGGACTTGTTAGAAATGAAGCATTGTAATATTTTAATTTATTTTTTATAATATTATTCCAGTTTCATAATTCAGGTTATAGGTTTAATAAGTTAGCCTGAGTTGACTTGGATTTTTTAATTTATTTTTTTATTTCATCTTTTAATATTAGATTGGTTGAAAATTGAGTTTTGTATTTTTTTTATTTGCTTTTTATGAGGATTATTTTGATCTCATGACGCGGGTTAACCTAGATAGTTTTTTGGTTCTTTTTTTATTTTTTTTTTAATTTTATCATTTAATATTAAATTGATTAGGAATAAGTTTTTAAAATTTATTTTAATTTACTTTTTATAAGGTTATTATAATTTCATTACCAAGATAAAAAATTTGACAGATTAACCAAACCGATCCAATATATCATTGTCTCAATAATTAAAAAATATATTATTCAATATAACACTTTATCAATATTTAATAAAAAAAATAATCTAATATAAATTATATTTTGAATTCATAATTATTGTTATTTTATTAGAAATTACTTTAACAATACTTAAATATTTTTTATATAAAAAAAATTTATCCAATCCACAACAATCATAACACAATATTGATAAGTAATCTAGTTTATACTATAATAAAATATACAATTTAAAAATATTTAATAAAACAATTCATCTAATATATATTATATTTTAAATTCATAATTAAGTTTTTTATTAAAAAATATTTTTTTTATCTGATTTCACTAACAATTCAACACAGCATTGACCAATAATGTAGTTTATTGTACAATAAAATAAACGACTTAAACAGAAAAACAAAAAAGTTCAAAACCCGAGGTAAAACTGTGGAGCACTATTTAGTACTGTTCATACAAATTTATGGATGCCGTCGAAATATTTGGCTTTGGACATTCTCTCTATCTCTCTAAGAAGGAGAAAAAAAGGAGCAGGTGATATGACATATCGATCCGTAAACTGCTAACCTTGCCAAGGTGGTGGTAGATTTTGGTTCCTTTGCCCATATGTTGAAGGTTTAATGTGATCGAGCCAGTCTTTGTGAGTTAATGCTTTCAGACCCAAGAAATCTCTTGTCAAGTCATCATTGCCACCTCCACGAGGACTGCCAACAGCAGAAGTTCTAACGTCATGATCACTCCTCCTAAATTGAGATTCTGTTGACTTTAAGAGTATTTCCTGAAAATTACAACCGTCTCGTTTTGGATTCAACATTCCATTGAAATCCTCATTATCAAAGGATGAACCATCAAACCCGCTCGCAGAAGATAAAGAACTCATCATATCATGGACTAAAGAAGGCCCTCCTGCATCACTCGCAGCAAGATGTTCCATGATACCAGATGTGACAGCAGCAGCTTTATTCTCTAAAGATACCAGCCCATGGCCACACCCACTTCCCATCTCTTCACGTGATGACAAAAATAGACCAGATGTGACAGCTGGTAACGTGGAACTGAAACCAGGGTTCAGATTAGACATGTGACCTTGGTGGGGTCGAAGAATGGCAGCGGCAGCTGGCGGAGAAGGCTTGCTCATCGTCACCCCCATTTGTGCTGCTTTTTGCAGCAATGCAGTGGCAGACATGTGAGGGGAAACTGTTGATGCGGACTGGAATGAAGGAAGTACAGTAGGATTAGTGCTAGGGTTTCCATGTTGCAAAAATGACTGGTTAAAATTTTCTGGGAATAGTTGTGAGGAGAGATTGATTTGTGGCGGACCTGTACCAGCATCTCCGATTGGTGGATAAACTAACCATGGTGGGATATTATATTCTGGTCTAGGGTTAAAATGATGCTGGTTTTGATCTTCCTCTCTTTTGACCGACAGGGCTTGTAAATTGATCAGGTGTGAAGCAGAGGAGCCAGGTTGCTGAGAGGAGAGAATAGGGTTTACAGTGATGGCTCGAACACTCTCTTCTGCTAAAGCATCACAGAAGGCTCTGTGGGTGATGAAACTGTCCCTCCTGTAAGCACAAAAAAACAAGCAGAAGAAAACAAAAAGGTATACCATTAAAATGAAGCAAACAGTAGTGAAGTACCACTTCTTTTCTTTATCGCTCTAGCTACTTTTTGTATTTTCGTTCTTTTTCTTAACCAAGGACAATTACATAGTAGATCTAACCCTTAAAGTTTCTTAACCTTAGCCACTTTAAAGATAGCGATAATAATTTAACTTAATGCAGTCTCTCACTCTTGCTCTCTGAACTTGAAGCATTTAGAAACCATAAGAATATGAAGTCAAGAAATCAAGATACTTGTATCTTACACTAGGAAGAGGCATGTCCATACCACATCATCATTAAGGAGAGCTAGTAAGCTTAATTATAGATCACTAAAGACTAAAAGAAATGAATCTAAACTTTGATCATGGAATGGAATGGTGTGGAAACTGAATTGTATATTGTACTTGCCTAGAGAAAAGAGTGCCACAATTACATCTATACTCTCTTGTGCCACAAATTTTAGAGTGAGCTTTCCAGTCTGATTGAACCGCATAACGTTTTGAGCACTTTTCACACTTCCACTTCTTCTCACCATGCTTTCTGCTAAAGTGCTTCTTGATCCCTGTAAGGTCCCCAAGAGCCCTTGATGGGTCATGGTGCACACAAGTAACCTCCGGACACACATATACCTTCTTTTTCACCTCTTTGTTTGTTCTTTGCTTTAGTTTCCATGGCAGGTTATGCCCTCTTCTATGAAGTTGAAGATTCTGATCTCTTTTAAATCCTTTATTACAGATCTCACATATAAATCTGTTTGTTGCCTGCAGACTGTTGGGAGACAAAGCTATTACTTCCGCATCTGGGTCTGATGAAAAATTAAATGAAACCAATATTAAGATGCAAATAAAAAGATAATAATGGAACAACTATGTATATATATATATAGCTACTTTAATTTGCAACCAAGATATATCTGATGGTCTTGATGACATGAAACCTGGGTTGCCTGGAAAACTTTTTTTCTTCTTTGGCGGAGGTTGATTTGTTGAATCAAAGGAGTGTTGAGGGTATATAGCACCAGTTTCAATTCTGCTGCCTGAAGAAGCACTTACTTCACCAGATGCTGAAGTCAAATTGGACATATTCTCATCCATTACCAGGCCTTTCAATATCTTCTCTCTATATTTAAGAAATAATTACATGACTTTGTGAATGATGACACAAGCTACAAGATGCGCACCCATGAGCTACAGATTAACCTTTTTACATGTGTGACAGAATGTCCTAGGATCTGTGCGGAAACCCTAAGCTAGTAAGGCTAATAAAAGTGGAAAGCAATAAACTAGACCATGTGCACAGAAGCTGATTTCAGCTTGCCTTAAATTTCTGAGAATTTATTCAGTATGTAATAAATATCCTTTCATTCTCTATGTAGCCTTCTTGTTGATGATATCACTTATATTTCCTTGAAAACTAACAAGAGTCTATGAAGAAAGAAAATAACTACAATACAAAAGAACAAAAAATGGACAAGAAAAAAATAAAACAAGTTCCTAGGTGGATTAGCTTAACTCCTTCAAGACCAGAACAAAGCCTTTGCTTCTTAGCTAGCTAGCTAGCTAGCCCGGCTATTTGCCAAGTCCAAGAAGATTAAACAAAACCAACAGCACAAAACATCTCTGAATTAATTGAATCTAAACCGTACCATGCTGGGATGAAATATGTAAACATGACTGTCTGTTGTGTGTGTGTGTGTGTGTGTGTGTGTGTGTGTGTGTGTGGAGAGAGAGTGAGAGAGTGAGAGAGAGAGAGAGCGAGAGATCAGAGATGAGGATGAGAACGGATTCTCCTTTGAAGCCCTCCACACAACCAAAACCAAGATACAAAGAAACAGTCTTGTTTAATCTGACGTGCGCTTTCTGTCTTTTCCCCTGTTCCCTTTCAAGTCCTAGCTAGAAAATACACGCACTCTCTCTATCTATTTATTTTGTAATAATTGTATTGCCAAATAATTTCCACCTTGTTTTACTCACTGCCACCTTTCCCATCCCATAAAAAGAACAGCAGATATAAAGCAATCCAAGTAAAAAGGGTAGTCTCAAAAAGACTGTAATCACAATACAGCTGCTAGACAGAGAAGAGAGTCATCATATGAAGTTTGATAATCACAGGCTCTTAGCATCCGGTAGGTAAAAGAGTTAAAAAAGCAAAAGCTGTTTCCTCTCTTTCCTCACACCGGCCATAGCATGATTAGCACTGTGATTGAATTCCATTAGACATGCTCACGGGAAATACTTCCATCTAATAATATATAAGAATATGTTTCAACCGAAAAAACAAAATATATATATATCATTCCCTTTTACTGTACGTACTTGTTTAATATTACACATTTAAATTAAATACTCCTGTTTCCTGTTTATGGAAAAGTGGGTCGGGATCTGTACATTTGAGGAAAAGAGGATGTCGGTCTGGAAAATACCATTTTGATTTTTCTTCTCTCTAATAATCGTACAAAAAACCCCTCGACAACGCATGCCAATGACTTGGGTTTTCTTTTTCCTCTTTTTTTTTTTGTATAAAAAAGTAAAATAATAATGCAAACTTGGACACTACTGCATGCCATATCTTTCTCAACATTTGATGTACTGAATGCAAATATGAGGTTAGTACTTAGTACACACATCATTTGAAAATATAGTGACAAATGACTGTTGCAGTAGTTGATTATTAATTTTTTATTTTTATTTTTATTTATTTATTTACTTCAAATTAATTTATTTTTTATATTTTCAAATTGTTTTAATATATTAATATTAAAAATAAATTTTAAAAAATAAAAAATTACTATTTTAATATATTTTTAATTAAAAATATTTTAAAAAACTCTATGTATGTTATATACCTTTCTTTGATTTTATTTTTCTAGTAAGGGTATTAAGTTCTAAAATATGTTTAAAGGTTAATACCGTAATCTATCTTTTATTTTTATATAATAGGATATTTTTATAATATACTTTTATATTTTTAATTTAATCAATTTTATTTTTATATATATGTTAAATTTTTAATATATTATTTGGATAAAAATTATAAGTCAACCATAAAAATTGACCCCATGTTTTACATGTGATAATAAACTTATACTTGGTACGTGTTCCATTTCTAAGTCGTGTATTTCTCATGGCAAATCACGTACCTAATTTTGGTAGACTAAAAATCTCGCCAGAAAGAAAGATTGATGTAGACAAGACTGAAAAATCTAATACTTCTGAACTTATGAGTCTGCCATAATTGAAATATCCAAAAAGTATAGGAGACTTGTTTATGGATTAATAGGATAACGTTAAGTCCAAGGAAAAACCTGTTTGGACCATACAATCAACTTGATAAATAAATATTATCATAAATTTAATAAATATAAATAAAAATATTAATTAAATTTTTTCATCAATAAATTATAATGAATTTTACTAATAAATTTTTTTAATCATTATATAATATATACCAAGAATTGCAATAAAAAAAAATAACGAATAAAAAAAGCTAGAAAAGTATGATGAAATATAACTTTTTCTAATAGTTTTATCAATAAAATTAACATGAAAGTAAATTTTTTCTATAAATATACTGATAAAAATAATCTCTTTGTATATACCAATAAAATTACAAATAGTATTATAATGAAATTTAAAAAGACAAATTGTACGATGATGTGACACTTTTTACTAACAGAATAACTAATAGAATGTTCAACAAAATAATTACATTGATAAATCTTTTAGTAATATTTAATTTATGACCTAACGATCAACCCTTTTCTTCCCCTTTCCTATTTCTCCTTTTTTTTATGCATTTTTTCTGCAACAAATAGCCACCCCCTTAATCTCAACATAATACAGTCTCCCATAAAAATCTAGCCACCACAACATTTGGTAGTATTTGTCAACATCCATGTTTTGATTCAAATTTTATTGAGAATTCTCCACTTTAAGTACGCAAATCTTTTATATTTTAAATATAATTTTTAAATGTTAATTTTTTTTATATATTTTTGTAGTATATGTATGTTGTTTGGGTGTTTACTTATTTTATAATTGTTTTTTCATGGAATTTTGTTTTATTGATTTATGATACATGTTATAGTTTGTTTTAGATTTTGTAAAAATTATATTTATTAGTAAATTGATGAAACTTATGTCAAATGTTTTACTTTGGTGTTTTGTAATGAAATGAATAGTGCCTTAATTATTTACCGGGTTCGTTTTATATTTTTTTCAATTTTATTGCCGAATTGTAATTTTTGGTAAATATGTAAAAATTTTAATATATGTAGATATATAATTGATAATAAATTAAAAAAAATATTAAAATGGATTGAATAAGATTGAGCTAAACCAATATTTTTACAAGGTTGTTTAGTTAACATGGTTAATTAATACATGTTGTCATTGATTAGTACTTAAAAATGCATTTTTATCATGGTTTTATATCATCATTTTGCACTAAGTATCAATAACTCCTTAACTAAAGCATGTTTTATAATAATATATCTAATAATATAAGATACCTTTAATTTGTGGTAAATGTTCATTTTAAATGCACGCCTATCACATAAATAAAAGGATTGATTGATGACTTTAAGAACTTAAATTGCAAGGGCAAAGAGATGACCAAAATTAGAAAAGAGATGTCGGTGCAATCCAAACCGGAACATTGTTCGGTAATTGGGTCATATCTGGAACTATAGATCTCAGATTTGGGTCTACTTTATATGGATGGAAAGGTAAGACATAGGCCTACAAGTTTCATATGGAGCCCAAGATCTAAAAAGGTCATTTTTAAGTCCAAATTGTAGCAACAACAAAGAAGCCCGAATCTGTCCTCCAGCCCGAGCATTGTTCAGTATTTTGGCTATATATGGAGTTCTAGAAGTACAAATGAGCTGAATTTTTTACACACGAAATCTGACACAATTGCCTACAACTTTCATGTTTTCAAGTGGCTCCAATTTTGACGTTATCAATGACGTTTTGGGCAGACAAGAGAAGATAATGATTGTCACCAAGTCAATAGTTGGCCACCCACTCATCAATTAGTCATCAAATCAATAGTTCCCAATTTTGGCCTATAAAAGGAGGCATTTGTCATGCATTTAGGCATCTTGGTTTCCAGATCAAGATCATGCTCTTGCTTTCTCTCTTTGTATTTTTTGTAATGTTTATGCTTTGCTTTCATTAATATCAAGTTTATGCCTTTCATTTCCTTTCATTTACTTAGTTAACTTTTATCTTGTTTATGTTCTTGTTTTGTTTATTTATTTTTCTTTCTTTTATTATGTTTAGCTAAGTTTATTATGTCAAGGTGAAAAGGTTACACTAATGGTGTAAGAATAAGTATAGTGTAAACTTAATATGGACTTTAATGTTTGATACTAACATGTTTTGTATTTGTTATCTTGTTCACTCTTTAATGCTTTGCTTGTTAAATGACTAATCTTGATTTATGTTGTATAACACTTGGTACAACAAATGCTTGGAACTTTCATAGCCCATACTGTATGGTATAACCGACACCTGAGCTATGAAAGGAACTTGATTTGTTGTTAACATAAGTTATAATCATGAATGCTTGACGAGATTTACAAGTACTAGCATTAATCGAATAAGATAACTAATGTAATCATGTTAACAATCTATAATCTGATTGGAACCTCCTTTGTGTGTGGTTTCCAATTGAATAATAAGAGTTTATACTATACTTGTTTGACATACCATTAGTGAAACCTCTAACCTTGACATTTGTTATTATTATTGTTTAATCCTTACATTAATTTTCCATCTCCAAGTTCTCATCATCTTCTTCTTCTTCTCTTTCTTTATTATTATTATTATTATTACTACTACTACTACTACTACTACTACTACTACTACTACTACTACTACTACTACTACTACTACTATTATTATTATTATTATAGTTATTATTGTTATTGTCATTGTTGTTATTATTGTTATTACTATTATTATTTTTGTTGTTATTATTATTGTTGTTGTTGTACTATTGTCGTTTATAATTTGTACAATTAACCTTCCTGTGGTTCTACCCTGGTCTTGCTGGGTTATTTATTACTTCGACACTCCTGCACTTAGGAGAAGACATCAATCTTTTAGTCGTGTCAAGTTTTTGGCGCCGTTGCCGGGGAGGTAAGTTCTTGTATAAATTATAATATTTATTTTATTTTCTCTTTTCACTTTTCTTGTATATAACTTTGCTTCTTTTCTCTTGTTTCTTCTTCTTTTGTTTTCTTCTTCCGTTTATTCTATTCCTACACGTGCATGAGAGTGTGGTCACGTACATCAAGTGGTAGACTTTGTAGAATATCCTCATCATTTTCAGAAAATATGGCCGAAGAAGATAATCAATTACTTCATAATGAGAATAATGAGAATAACCGTGTTAGAACACTTAGAGACCACATGAATCCCACAAGAACAAGTGCACCATCATGCATAGTTTTTTCTCCCAATGCATCTCATTTTAATTTTAAGCCAAGTATTATTCAACTTTTACCTTCTTTTCATGGCTTAGAATTGGAAAATCCATACTTGCATTTAAGGGAATTTGAGGAGGTCTGCAACACATATAATAATTTAAATTGTAGCATGAACACCATCAGATTAAAGCTTTTTCCTTTTTCATTAAAAGATAAAGCTAAAACATGGCTACAAA